GAAGCCCCGAAAAGCTAGGATGTTGGGAAAAAAGAAAAAGGACGATTCCAGGGGGAGCTCATATGCAACATCTACAAGATTGTCATGAGGTCGGAATGGTGGGAAATGCGCCAAGTCGGCTTCGCGCAGGTAGGATAATGCGACGGAAAGGGAACACGTGCGATGCGCATTTTGCAATAAATGAGATCCTGAGGAGGTGGAAGCCTTTGTTGCGGCCCACCTCAAGGGGGTGCCCATTTTTTCCGCGAAAATGTCAATCCAAGCTTGCTAGGTGAACAACAATGTTTTTCACTCATCCTAGCAAGCACCTCTGCTTCAAGTTCATCTTGCCGGCGAGTAAGTGACTCCTGGTCAAATTCCGAATACGTCATAGCAGACAGTATCGGCAACCCTGATCATACAGGTGCTTAGTTTATCCTGAGCGTGGCACATAATGTTTAAAAGAGGCGCCAAGTTCACCCTTCACCTTCTTGATGGACCTCAGTCCACAACCCCAAGACATCGCTTCATCAAAGTCTAAGATTGTAGGCGCTTGCCTCCGCAATATGATCGCTGTCTGGAGCTGCAGGGCATCTTCTCTTAGCGCAGAAATGGTCTCCTTATTGGAATCATCGGCAACAGGCAACTGGTAGGGATGCACATCAGAGTGCCTCGAGCTGTACACGCTGTTGCTCAGATTCTTGAAGCTGGCCATCCAGAACGCTTGCTTTCCCAGCCTACCAGGACACCAGGAGTCAAGAGTGCGCTTGCTTTCATGAGTCATGAGGAGTGTTGTGAGCCATAGCGGCCTGAAGGAGCTCATGCAGCTCCACTTCCGAACGTGCTTTTCTGTCCTTGAACATACCAGATGACATTCACATCAATGTGAGAATCAATACCAACTGCCAGCTGCAAGAATCTGCCTTCAGAGACTGCTTCTGGCACGGGAAAGAGCTGATCACAGTCTCCTGGCACTGCTTCTGATTTGGACAGCTGCAGCTGAGAAACAACTCCTTTCACAATGACCCTGCTCTGCCAATCCAAGCAGAAGCATGAGGAGAGAAGAAACGCCTCAAGCCATTCTGATGGGTCCTACAGCCTGCTTCGCAGCACCCCAGCTAGCTTTCCCACATGTGAACTTGTACTCCGTCCAGAGCGGAGAAAGGCGGGAGAGGAGAAAAGGTTTCAATTGCTTTAAGTACATCTCGCCGGGAAGCGTGACTCCTTTACAAGCAAAGCGGGTCGGCGGGCCATATGCCATATACTGATTGATTCACTCGCGCACAAATTCGATGTCGGACCTTGTTTCAGGTTTCGCCGGTACTCAGGCACAGGCAACGGCTTGGCAGGTTGCTTCTAGAGCCAAGCTTCTTGATGGAGATTTATGGGCCAATTCAAGACCATTCCCAAATTTGGCTTCCTCTCTTTTGCACACCGAGGTCTATGTCATGAGTCTATGCTGTCTGCCCCTCTCCACCTGTCTTGAAAAAGACCCCTGGACTTTCAATTATTGTCCATTCTAGGTTTCCAGCCAGGCCCACTCTATCAAACAGTCTTTCTGAAACCATCCGCCGGAAGCTCTTGAAAGCTCGTTTTTGGAAGGCTCGCTTTGGGGTGGGTTTTCCGGGCCTTCTGTGAGGCCTCTGTCTGCCCTTTTGAAATCTTGTCCAATGCCGAGCTTCTCTTTATGTTCAATTATGTTCACCAGTTTGTGAGGGCCGCAGGCAGTTTGACAGTGCAACAGACAAAGTAGACTAGACCACAGCTAATTATCAGGAGGGCTGGGAGATGAAACAACATAAACACCTTGCACAAAAGATTACAAAGAAAGAAACCCCAAAGGCGAGTACGCAAAAAAAACAGCATGCCCCTGGCTGTGCCTGCACAGCCTACTTCAGCACGGTCCGGATACTGTGCGTGCCCCCCGGAGTAACTGTGGAGTAAGAGATGAAACCGGCTGTGGCCTTACCTGCTGGAAGCTTGGCACTTGTAACTTTGAAGCCGATGGGTAGAATCCGTGAGCTGCATCCTGGGACAACTGCTTGTTTTGCTCTTCCAGCGCATTCAACCTCAGCTCAATGTTGACAAATTTGCAGCAGCTCTGCCTTCTTCGCAGACTGAGTTCTGTCACTCTTCCAGCTTTGTGCTTGCGGAGAACCGTGCAGAGGACACGGCATCCTGTGCTACAGGTGGAGGCTGACTCTAACTCAAGCTCCCATGAGCTCCCAACTCCCACAAACTTTCCCAAAGCAGTTCCTGTCTGCTCTGAAAATACAAGTACCTGTCAGACCTTGGCTCTGTCCAGAGTTCCAACAGATTCCAACCCTTGGTGGCAATTCCGCCCCTCAACCAAGACCTCCTACAAAAGTGTGCAGTTGCATGACAACCCTTCAAGCTTCATATGATGGTCAGGCCGTCTAGCAGAAACCAAGAATGTGCCATACTTGGCTTGGACTTTCGCTGCGCGTGTTCTTCTTGACGATTTTTGCTTCTGACGCAACTTTAGCCTACATTCCTGGCCGCATGGGGCTTATGCAAACATGCTGGAGATACACTCGCAGCTTTTGGCTTAGAAATTCTTGGGTATTACCTGCAAAGATTGATTCAGCAAAATCTTCAGAACGGTCGCAACACTTGGTGTGGGAATTCGGCTCTGCTTGTGAAGCAAAGGCTCGATAGATGACTTTAGACCGCGTCTCTACAAGGTTTGTGGATGCTTGCTGGAGCATGCTCGTAATATTTCATCGGCCCTTCGAGTAGGTTTAGATCACGGCAGGCCTCCAGATTCCCGGTCCAGGTACGACAAGCTCGTAGCCTCAGGATCAGGAGACCGACCCAATGAAATCATGCCAGCCTAATTGTTTTGGCGTAATGTGCAGCCGCCCGACTGCTCTACAAGCTCGGAAGCTGCACTTTCCAGCAATGACCGGCCCTGGCGTCCATCAGAGCTTGAGATCCAAAAACTAAAGCCGAGCATGGTTGTGTTTGTGACAATGCCTTGGCTGCTTCAGCGGCCTTTATTTGAAGGTCTTCAACTTCCACTAAGCCTGGTCAAAGCACGCAATTAACAAGAGCAACTACCAGTGTTGAAAATATCAGGCGCGGGCTCTGCTTTAACTCCTCGTTCACCTGGCAAGCTTGGCGAGGGTCGAAGTGTGGAAGAGCGAGAGTCACCCGAGGCCACTGTTGCAAGGTACTGTTGTGCCAATCTTCTACAAACAGCTATCCAAATCAGATGCCCTCTGTATGCGTGACATCTTTTCTTCGGTGAGCGCGTATTTTGCATCTGGGTGGGCAAGCCAACCATTGTTGCCTTTGGCGCCTGCCGTCCCTCATCTCCATTTTGCTGATTCACTTCAACTAAGCTGCAATCTTGAGCATGAGGAGGATACGATGGGGACTGTGACCTGGCCGCCTTGCAGTCATGATCGGCTTGACCAACCTGCATCTGCATCATCTGGCATCTGGCAGCTGCAGCATGTCGGAAGCCTTCCTTAACTTTGCACATGTTGGCATTACTCCCACGCATGAAGGCTGACATGAAGGCAGCAAAAGCAACATTGTGACCGCAGAAAGGGTTCAATGGTTGCATTTGTGCTGGGCTGAGTTGCCGCGGATGCATTTTGCATTGTACAACAAGCAGTTGAACACGAAGAATCAGAATAGACCGAAGACGTGACCGCGTGTAAGCCACGCTTAGATCCGCTTGCTCAAATCTCGCCTCTCTGTGTAAGTGTCGCCAATTATTTCCGCATGGCATAAACTCTATACTCTGCTGTTTTCTGAGGCTACTCACTAACAAATCCCGGCACCACCGGTCGCACGCTTCTAGTGCAGGGCACACACCTTCGTGAATCGACGCGCTCTCCGAAAAATACGTACTAAGCTGACGTCGAATGTTTTGATAGTGAACCATTGGAAGCTAAGACAGCAAACACAAGCTACTGGTACAACCATTGCAAAACCAATTGAAAAGCTCTTCAGGTTGAGCTGCTACACCTTGCGCTTTTCAGAGTTTTGAACACAAACACTGGCTGGAAATTACAGCGAAGTTACAATACTAGCAATGTTTGGCAGTTCTGCAAGAACAAATGTTCCAGATGTCGGCAGCTGTAAATGTTGTTCCTAATAACGTTCCCCTCTGTGTACGACATCTTTGCATAAGGGGGGCGCAGCCCATCAGCTTGACAACATTGAGGAAGATGGCAGCATTCGGTTCGCCGATAACAAATTTGGCTGGGCATGGCAAAGGTCGTGCTTGAAGCCGAGTTCCGCCAAGAAAATAACGGGGGGGCAAGAGGGTGGCGCACTCCACCAACCTTCCAAGAATGATAAGGCTGATAGGGGTGAAAGTGAAAATTCGCAGGATGCCTAAAGATGTTGCCAGATTTCAGTCGGAACTGCTTGGTACACTACTTGTCTAATTATCGCCTCTAAAGCGCAGTGGCAATGCCGATCAATGCCGCCTAGCTCTGAAAAACATGGCACAGCACTTGCAAAATTCAGGAAATTAGGCAGGTTTTGCTAGGCACTTTCTTGCCGTTCAACGTTCGGGGGTGGTGCAGGCCCCCTGCATGTACTGTTTGACTACGCCCCCGAACAAAAACTGCGCCAGCGAGGGGTGTCGTGGGGGGAGCCCACGCTTCTTCGTTTCTTTGATGTCCAACCTTGCCATCATCTGTAGATTGTCTTCTTTCTAGTGCCATATGTTTGTCTTACTTTCCGACTACCCTACTTTACTAGCACACTATTGGATGAAAGGACCTATGCGCTGACCTGAAGCAACGTATCCGGGACCAATCTGAAAACACGCGCACAGAAAGTTTCAAGCTATCATATTTTTCATGCTTATTGAGGAGCCGAGAGACTACAGCTTTGGACATCTCTGCTTCAATGGTTTTTTTTGCTGGCGGAGTACCTGAAGCTCGCGCTCCACAGAACATCACACATCGCAAATGCTGCATGAGCGAAGAAACATGCATGCCAGGCTGCTCTGCTTGGCCGGCTTAGCATCTTCTTGCTCAACTTGCACAGCGGCCTAAAGTGTTTTTGAATTGTTGGCATCTCATGGCTTGCCTTGGGGCTCTGATTGAAAAAAATGCTGGAGCTGATGCGCCAAGTAACGCATCTTCCGCGGAGCCTTGGCTACAGCATCAAGAGGCTTTATTGAGACTCATGTCTGCTTGCCTGTAAGCCTCCCTGACCTTGCAATAGGCAAGCCTGTCGGAGGCATGGCAACACCCGGAACCCACTGCGGAGTACGTGGACAGCAACAGCAAATGAGGATTCCTCCAAGGAATACTGGCTTGAGTTGCCAAACGAGCTAAGGCCTAATTCTGGCAATCGATATTCGCAAAGCCCCCAACTTCCCTACCCGCCTCTCAGTGTAAGGCGCCTATGCGCATCGCCGTGTCTACCATTCACAACACGCCTTTAAACACCTAATACGTCATACGTGAATAAGGATTCTTAATTGCGCCGCTGCGGCTGGGCGGCTGTCATATATAGGGCGGCTGAAGACCTAGCATGTGAGTCAAAACCACACCTCTTTCTGCAGGCCCCACGGCTAGGATAGCAGGAAAGTTTATGCTACGGGTACAGCTTTGAAATACAAGCAATTCCATGATTCATGAAGCAATGTTGCACGATTTATCCACTTGTACTCCTGCGCTGTTGCTGATTAAATGTTCTTGTCAGTTTACACTCTTCGGCTTCCGTGACTGCTGTAACTGTAACTGTTTCAAGACAAGGGCACGACCAAAGATTTTGAAGCTGTAAAGCCAATGGCTTCGGAGCTTCGCTCTCAATTTTGAAGCTATTGGCTTCGCGCGAAGCCCCAAAGCTAGTAAATTTGCCCGAAGCCGGCAGATAGTAGCTTCGCCTGAAGCTTTCACAGTAGCATCGGAGCTTCGCCCGGAATTCTGAAGCTAGTGGCTTAGTGGCTTTGGAGGTTCGCGCTTTCAAAACCTAAGCTCGTCTGAACCACCCCTAGCATGCAATCTTATGTTTTGTCCTCTTTGGAGGCCGTGGCGATTTTGCGAGATATGGGCCATCAAAAGTATTTCAGGAAAACCCATCATCACCTTCACTGCAGTGCTGCCATTTGGCAGTTACATTACGGTCGTAAACGCCGACGGTCGCAAACGCCGCATCATGCCGCAATTGCCATGGCAATTGAGTTCGGCTGCTGCAAAATCCTCACACAAGCCGTGGTGTTAAAGCGTGACACAGACCTGTTGTCAAAGACGCATGAGGCATGATATTGCTTTTTGGGCGTGATGACTCTGAGAATGACCATGGCTTCCGTCAATCACGCATGTGGTGTCTCGCTCCCTGCAACATACTTCATGGGTCTTCACCCACGTGTTCTGCAGGGCGATTGTGATCCAGTTCCAGCGCGAAGGTGTCCAAAGGCAAGCCCTGCTGACAGTCGCCCCGAACTCGAACATGCCCCGCATAGTCAAGTCGGGCTGAAGGGAGCCAGCCCTTCAGCCATGCCCCGTGCGGTCGGACGTGGTGGAGCCATCTTTGGTAAGCACATCCTGTACATTGTTGGGCGCCTCGACTTTGGCCTGATGCGGCTTGCTGCAAGTCTACTCAGGTAACGCTTGTCAGATGCAGTAAACGGATGTGTAAGCCTATCTGGCTAATAGCGTGCGTCGATGACGCGTTCGCTTGAACACTTTGTTTGAGGTCCACGCCGGCGTTTGCAGCACTTCTAGGAGATTGAGGCTCCTGAGATTTTGCACACTGTTGTTCTCGTCTGGGAGGCGGGTAGGAATCAAATGTTGATGACAACACAGGCTTGCCAGTTCATTGTCCTTAGCTTGCGATGAAAAACTGCCAAAGCTATTTCATTGTGTTCGATATCATTGTTAGGGGGGTGGGGAAGGGCCCAACGGCTAAATTAATGAAACGGGAAACGGTGAATGTCATCTTTGCTTTTTATAGAGAAAGGAAATGGGTCTCCGTTACGTTTTTGAGTGCGTCCTGCTTGTTTGCATCATGCGCGCATCATTATTTCAGCATTTGGTTTATCATTTCGTCGCACGTCTGTTGCTTCTTGCTTGGCACGAATGGCAGGCTCTGCTGCAATACAGGCAAGCTCACGATGCTATTGCAAGTATTGTTATCTCAGTAACAAAGCTATAGAATATCATAAGCCGCGACCTTCTCATTCCTTCAGAAGTGATGCAGCGCGCCAGCGCGGAAACGACTGCACAACTTTCTGCCATTCACTAGTGGAGCGACGTCTTAGCGCACACCTGTCACGCAAACTTACGATTGGATTATCAAAAGTGTTGGGTCTCTGGTATGATACCATCATGCAGGAACTTGAAGAGTTAAGCGCCGCTGTCAGCGCAATTTGGGAATTGGCTCTGAGGCTGTGTGACACTCCTGTAAGCACAATTTGCCAAGCAGCCAGGCCAGCAAACGCTGAGTGGACTTGCAATCTTCACAGTTGTATTCCTCTATCTGACCTTGGTTCCAAGCTGGTCGAGACGCTTATAGAGCAATAAAGATCAAGTCCTGGACTAACTTTAAAGAAGTTGCTGGTCTGCTACTTGAACCTTTTTTGCGCCTGCCGGTCTCCCACGAATCCTCTCCCCGCACGAGATTCAATGTCTACGGATCAAAGGCCGAGCAGCTTGAGCGACACGAAACTACTACGCGGAGGAGCTGTGGATTGAAGGATATGAGAGCAAATCATCATGTTCAGAACACTCAGTCCGTGGTAAATCTATCTTTTCTTGCTGGTAGCAAGATGCCTTCACTCATCCTAGGATCTGCAGTACAAACAAAGGTGGGCAGTGAGCACATCCAGAGCAATTGGCTGCTTACTCTTGCGAAGGTCATTCCCGGCATGGAAGCTGCTGACTGCAGAGGCTAGTCAAATCACGCTTGCCTACGCGCAATGCTTCCATGGATGGGAAATTCATTGGAGTTTGCTATGCCATGTTCCCTCCACGCATACCACGCATATACGTAGGCAGAACTTTGCTTTGGCTATCTGCTGAACCAGCATTCCTACCATGAGCCATCGGGTCTGCGCATCATTGGCGCCAGGGTGTGCAGCTGAGGGGCGCAGTGTTGAGGAGGTCGCAACGCAACTACCGTCGGGGTTGTCCAGCCAACGCATGTACGCGATCATGGACTCTTCAGCAGCAGCAACATCACTTGTCCGTGATGTCCTTCAACCAAAACAGAAGATGGGGGCAACACTCACTCAACATCTTTTGCCTTTGCTTTATGCAGCACCGCTGTTCACCGGTCCTGAAGAGCCGTTCCACCTGCTTGAGCCCATAGCCCGGAAGGCCCAGCACAAAGGAACCCTTCAAGATGGGATAGAGGTCTATCAGAACTGTTTTGATAAGCTCGTCAGCCATTTGCTTGAAGTCTTCAGGAAGGCCGGCTGCCAAGCGTGAGAGCGCGCTTCTCTCATAGTGACCATAGCAGTATGCGTGCATGTTCGGGAATTGTTGCAGGCGGTCGAAGATGAAGTTGAGGACATGGCCTGTGTTTTCCAGCTCCTCGTCACGTGTGTGGGACCACCAACTATGGTAAGCTCCATCGCGTGTGCAAATGCCAATCAAATATTCAGCGGCAGCTGGTGGCTTGTTCCATGGCAAGCTTTCCAGGTCGATGAAGATATCTCCCGAATCATCGGCTGGCAGCGCTGCTAGCACACGAGCAGCATTTGGCAAAATTACCGAAGCTGGCGCTACATGAGTGTTGTCTCTTGTTTGGCACTGCAGCCTTGCTTGCAAAACTAGCCGCTCGAGGGTATGGAGCTTAATGCGAGAGACGGCCGATACACTTGCTAGAGCCGAGGGGGGCATCTGGGAAATGCTGGTCATGGTCTTGTAGCCTGCCAGCTTCAATGCAGCTCGCTGAGCGCGAGTCATACTGGCAACCAATGCCAAGTCATCCCTCATGGTAAGCATTTCCTCTGCTGCTGGCGCCCATCGCCCAAGACTGGCTTTAGGTTCGTCTGCTGGATCTGGAGGAAGATCAGGCCGGAAAGTATTACAAAAATCCCGGAATGCCCACCATGATTCAAAGAAAGGCCTTTTTAGCTCAGCAATGCTTATTTCCTTGACTACCCCCTGCTCTGCCGCATCTTCTCCCAGTACGAGTCCAACCTTTGTGACCCTCACGCCGCCTGTGGGGGCCAGCATTGATTCCAGAGCAACGGCATAACCAATCAGCTGGGCCACATGATAAGCTGTGGGGTGCGTGGCCAGCTTCGTATCCCAGATGGCATAGTCTCCGTCTTCCCCCCTTATGAGAAAGTCGACTATTCCAAAAAAGCCCAAGCGTGCATCAAAAACCGGTGCTTGATAAATTACATTTACATCAGCAGCTTTGAGGCCTTCAAGGGTTTTGTCCGCACATGCCTGGTGCCATCTGTTTCCAGCACTTTTGCCAGCAATTCTCAACTCGGATACTGCTTTGCTGAGGTCCAACACAGTCCAGCGTGAGCCCTGTGCTCTGAACCAAGTGAGGAGTTTTTCTTCCACTCGCGAGCCGCGTAGAGCTAACAACTTTTCTAGTCCGTCCTGGAGATTAGCACAGCGCGAGTCCTCCGGGAACTCTTTACGTAGCTTGTCCATCCAAGCCTGGAATGGGGACGCAATAAAGCCTGCGTAAGCTGTTGCTGACACTACATCCTGATTGAGATCAGGAACTTGCGCCTGATGCCCGGAGCTCCGTACTGTTGCTTGAGGTAGTCTTCTTGGACAACATGCGAAGATGGAGCAGATTATCCCGACTCGCTGTTCCTGCCTGCGCTGCCTGCTTTTGCGCTTGCCCTCGTTGGCCGGACGTGGGCGCGGCAGGAGGCTGCTTGCAGGTTGCGCAGGCTGAGATACTTGCATCATCTTGCGGAAGCCAGATCCTTATAGAGGCATTTCTGCAAGTTCGAATTTGCTACGCAACATCCAGCGTGAGCCGAGCTGACGGCATCGGTTCAAAACAAACGTGCTGTGCATAGGCGGCTGTGTAAGGGGGGAGATTGGCCTCCCAGTTACAATCCTACCACTGCTACATCTATGTGAACATCAGAGCAAAAGTTACGCGGGTCATTTGCTTTCAATGCTTTCACAACTTTCCTCTACGAGAACCTTGCTCAATGATTGTCAACTAGCGCTTTCTCACGCGATCTGGCTCTTTGCCGGAACAGTTTCATGTCATACACCTTCAAGATCCTTCACTTCTTGACCGTCGTTCAGAAACCGAATCAAGCTTGAAAACACCTCAACCACTTTCGTCGAGCACCAACTTCAGGAACTTTGACACCCACTTGGAAATCTGGATTTGAACCCCACAACCAAACCCTGCAACGAACACGGTATCAAGCGTCAGCAGTCCCTTCTCAACCCATGATGGCCATAGACACATTCATTGCTGCAATAGGCAAGCTTAGTCCTGTTGCGTCAAATGAACATCTAGGTGTGCAAACAATAGCCGGGGGCACCATAGCGCTTTGCTTCAGCTCTATGTCCAACAGGTCGCGGTCGGTTTCTTGCTGCTCCTGCAGAGTGGCCTCAGACTCTCGTATTGCCTCGCAGCTTGCTTCATGCTCGCGTTCGTCAGCAAGGCGCTCTTGCTCATGTGGTAAGCTGCATTTCTTCAGTTGTCGCTGCATGTCCGAGAATCGGCGGCTGCTTCGTTTCAACGACTGCTCCTGCTCAGCCAGCCGCGCTTGCAAAGACTGCAATTCGTTGTGCGCTGCCTCAATCTCTGGAGCCGCTTGGGCTTTCATGATGTCAGCCTCGCATCGCGCGGCCATCCGACACTCTCGGACTTGCCGCTCGCTGTGCAACGCTACACGGGCTTCCAATTCATTCACCTCCTGGTAAAGGTGCCGCATCATGGGATCCTGTAGCCTGGCCACGGCCAAAGCCACGGAGCTACCAGAGCCACCAGAGCCAGCCGTCCGGCCAAGGGCAGCATCCCAAGCCAGCTCGGCATGTGCTTTTGCTTCCTCTCTCGAACCTGTCATGACGAACTCTTGAGCAGACCTGGCCTCGACAATCATCGCAGATTTTAACAACGAGCCAAACGTCTTCAGATCTGCTTGCTTAGCTCCCGCGTGCTACAATTTTCCACTGGGCATTCAAGTCTGTACCCATGCAGCGCAGTGCCTCAATGCCACAATATTAGCTGTAGCTGTCTGCATACAGACATCTACAAGGTCCATGAAGTTTCGGGGATCATATGCATCACCTGCAGTTGCTGCGCGGATTTTGACTTTAGGGGTCCACGCCCCAACACCCAAACAGATTTGTCAGTCCAGGCGCACGATGGGAGAAACCGAACGTTCGCCAGGGCGGCTACAGATCCACAACTGCTCCCAAGCAGTGGCTTCAGTCTTTCGTGATCACCCGCCCTACATACGCTAGGTGGTGGGTATTGAGCGGCAGCTTGATTGTGGATCGTGCAAGGGCATGCTGAAACCTCACGCTTCACTCTTTTCCTGCCCACATCACGGCAGCCTGAACCCCAGAATCACTGAACTCTCAAATCAAACGACTTCAAGAAGCTTCAATGCCTCCGAGACCAACGGCATGGTCATCTGCCGTTTCATTAATGCGTTCAGACCTCACCAACATCTACCATCCCTTGTGGGTGTGGTTGCGTACAGTCAGGTCATGAAAATCTTGGAAAGGCACAGCACCAAAGGAGGAGACAGACAATGAAGAGAAATATTGACACCATGCTGTGGTACCTCATGCAAAACGGGAGCGGGATAGAGGAGCTGCTATGCTGCCATAAGGTCGCACATAAATGTCTGCACCCAGAGGCCAGACTCCCAGGGATTCAGGACAGCGAAGAAGACCTACACTAGCTACAAGCCAACATTGAGCATCGACCAAGTAGCGATCAATCTGCACAAGTCCTCTGTCAGAGAACTGACCCGGCTCATGACAGCAATCACTCCTATGCCTGCTGCGGAACTCCAAGAAGCATGGATATCAAAATCGCCTGAGCAAGAGCATTAGACGAATCTGACTTTAGCAGAGGTACTACATCAAGCTGCTAGCACTGCCTGCGATGAATGGAACCGAACGTAAAAAGGAGCAGCCTGAACAATCAAAGGCCAAGCTTGGTAGGACACCATGTGCAGTAGGTGCTCGCATTGAATGCGCCTGCCTTGTTCCTAACTGCCAGCTGAATGAACAAGAACCACACAATGAGGAAGTAGTAACCCGACCTGCTTGAAAGAGCATGCGGACAGCTGCAGCTTTCAGCCCTTCCATGGACAGCTCAAGCAAGCGAACAGAGAACCTTGCTTTCATCATGTCACAATCATTGACCGTGTGCTTGTGCACTTGTCGAAAAGATGAAAAAGTTGCGTCATCGATACGAGTGGTAGTGATGCTGCAGCCTTGAGAAGCTGCAAAATCACTCAAGGTATGAAGCAGCTGATGCAGTATGGACCGGTATAGAGCTCTCTTCTCAGACCCTCTTGGACCGTATCCAAGAGTGTCCTTTCTCTTCCACGGGTGATTAAACCAGAGGCGGATACGGCGGATAGAAGGCGCGCTTCATTACTAGTCTCTTTTCTTGAAACAAGCTGCGCTGGGGTGCTCCGGAAACGAAACAATCGAAACCACTGCGGCTGAATCTGTCCAAGCTGCTTCAAGTACGCGTTGTACAAATAGCGCCTGACTTGCGGCACGATAACAGTGCCCGTTTCTACGCCATGCGCCTGCCTCTGCATGTGGTGCATACTAATTACTCTGGTCATTTAGGGCCCATGCATTTTCAAGGTGTGCTGCATGAAGTTGACAATCGGCTCACAGGGCGGCACCCCAACCGCATACCTGGCCATCGGTGTGTAAAGCCTGTGGTGGCCGCACACTACCGCGAGACAAGAAGTTTCTGAGCGAGAGACGGATATAAGGAGATTGAGATCTCACCAAAATCCAAAGCCTGCTTCCAACGCAACATAGCCTTTCCAGCTAAACATCATCGCAGCATAATCTGAGCCAAGCACATTCAAGAAGGGAAGCAAGTACCTGTCCACACGGCAACGCTCACCGCGCTGCCACGTCGAAAAATGTTCGCCGCGCTTACCCGACACATGCACCAACGCGAAGCAGCCAGACTTTGTCCAAAAGACCTGCAGCAGCGTGTTTGATGGCTTTCCGCCGTTTTAAGCTTTACTTCATCCGTCAGTCTGCTCAAGCGTACCGCCCAGAATTCGCATTGGCAGGGGAGTGAGACGCTTCCTCTCAAATTCACAGACTGCGAACAAGAAGCACTCTATTGGGACGAAGGACTCATTACTGTCAGGCCTCATCCTGTCTTTCTTCTTTTCTAGTGGTGTCGCATCAACGGGAGTGGACATGAGAAACAGTGCGTCCTTGCAGCTTTGAGACGGCTGGTTAGGAACACTGTAAGATACTCTTAGCTTTCCCAGCAATGCCTCTCCCATCGCAGACATCTCTTTCATTTCCTGCTGCTGCTCCCATTCTTTCATTGACTTGATAAACTCCTGGACGAGCAGATTATTCTCAAACAATCCTATGCAAGTGTGGCATGCTGCGTACCTTCACGGCAAACACCACGAAGACGCTGGAAATCAGCGCAATGACTCCGGACCTGAGGGTCTTTGCATGGCGCCATTGCACACCCATTGCAAGCACTGGCCCTGCTGACCCTTCTTGCGTCAGTTGCCGGATTGCGGGATTACGGGCCGCCAGTACAGAGAAGCTTTAAAATAAAACAGTTTGCATCGCGACCTGCAACGTGTTGCCACGCCGATTTTGGATGTCAGATGTTGCAAACACTACAGCACTCTGTTTACAGATTTTACAGCTTGGCCACCACCCCATTTGGGGCTTGTAGTGTCTGCAAATGCACGCCATGTCTGCACACATGCCTCCGAGGCATGGCTAGGCTAGACATGGCTAGACCGGCAATCCACAAGCTCTAAAGGCTGATTTTTCCATGGCACTGTTGCTTCTTTGGAAAACCCATCCACGCGGCAGTGCCGATATCCCACGGCTTTGTCTTGACAATTAGCTGAGAGAACGGACACCAGGACGTGGAGGAGAAAAAAAGAGGGAATGGTCCGGAATGGGACTACGCATCGCACCCAATCTGAAGCTCAGCGTCTTGCGGAAGACACCTGAGCTGCACGCGAGAAGTTAGCAACAACTTTGCCCCCCCTTTACTTCTCTTCAGTCTGTCCCCCATGTTTCTTCGGTCAAGCCCGGCCCGACTCCGCACCTTCCACAGCAATCCTTTTGCGGCGCCTCTAGTGTGTGCTTCGACTTTGCCTAACTTGGACACTTAGACTAGTCCTCGAAGTTCGGAAGCCTTCTCTCGCGACAACCGCTCGCGAATCAAGCTTCAGCCTCCCGCTGCACTCGCAGTTTGTGAACGTTAGACATGAGAAACGTCTTTGAGGAAATGGATCTTTCATCGCCAACGTTCAGCCGATCTCCTATCTACCACGCCTGCTTGATTCGGGTGCGTGAGATGGTGCCAGGCTTGGTAGCTTCAAGCGCAAAAGTTAAGTAATATGCTTCAGTTGCATTTCAGTGAAAGCTTAACTACCACTGCATGGCAAAGCAATCTTGGTCGGACCGTCACTAAATAATGTTGACCGGATTGCAAAATCCAGATCCCGCAACGTAATTACAAACCACCCCGCAGTTGCAAAATCCAACCCGCGAAAACACAGAAATTTCAAAGTGTCGGCTACTAGCTGATACTTACCGGCTCTACCAGCGCTCCAGCTGATGGACATGGATATCCTTAATTACGAAGGCTGGGGCCCACATCCTCACGGGGATGGGGGGACAGGGGAGGGGGTTCTACATATGCAGTGGACATTAGCGTCGTCGGGTTCGGAATGGCAGGAATGAGTTGATAGATGTACCAGTCTGCTGAAAAGATGAGCATCACCAGGTTTTTGTGTGACCTCTTACCGGTGTAGCGCTGTTTGCTCACGCATGCCATGTACTTCCTGCCGAGCCTTTCTTGGCAATGTGAGATCTCATCTGAGATGCGTTCTACTTCGAGTGTCGGACGTGCCGTGTGAGCTTCAAGCCCAGTGCCCCACCTACAGCATGCCAGCTGACCATCCCAGTGCAGCGCTGCAACTAACATGACTTCATGTCGAATGGTTGCGTTTCCATGCGTTTCCACTCCAACTTGCCACCTTCGCCAAGTGCTCAAAGCCGTGGACCTCTCTTGATGTCAAGAATTCAATCCGCAAGACTGCGGCGCGGCTGCTGCTGTCGTCGGTACGGCTGAAAATCTGGGAGGCCGCCTTGCCGTAGCAACTCTTTTTTTGTAGGGGCCGAATTTGTTAATGCTTGGCCTTGATTTTTTCGGGGCTCCGCCCAGTCCACTAGATTCTGCCTGACCCTGCGGCTATGCGGCGCATGGCCTCGGGCTAGGGACTGTCGGCCCAGACACATGGTACCCTCGAGTGTTGCTGTTGCTCTTTCCTTCAAATATCCTTCAGTCTCATTTCCCCGCACAAGCACAGCAAAGCTGGCAGAAGTGGCGAATACATCAATGGATTACCAACCAGCATCATAACTTGTTGTAACTCATGACGCATTCCACACCAAATGCTAGTGGATTGTAATCATCCAAATTCTCAGCTGGCGAAGCAGTACCAACCCTCAACAGACTGTAAAAACGGTGTTGTGCTCTCTCCCTTCTCGTGTAACAGGCCGCGCTCCAATCGTCTCTGGCGGCTCCAATCATTGCGCGATACGTGTTGAGACATGCTTGCATCAAGCTTGGAGACTTGCATGGGGTGTCACTGCAGTGATAACAGCCGCAGATTGCTTCAGACTCTACTCTAGACTCTAGGCTTTTTGATGGTTATTGCAGCACAGGCCTGGAGAATGCTACTGGTTAACTTTGGGTTGGAAGCAGGTCGGAGCATGTCAATGTGAAACTAGAGCAGGTTGAAACCCTAATCGGAGCAGTGCGTTTGAGAGTTGGGATGGGAGATACTGCAAGTATACCACAGCTTGCACACTCCTTGTTCAAGCAGGCCAGCCCACACGCGCAGGGCAGGGCGCCAGGCTGAATCCATGGCCGAATGGAGTTCTTGTAGGTGTGAGCAACCGCCATGTCCTGCGCAACGCTGCCGAATTTCACCACACCACTAGATGAGCATAGATGAGCCATAGTGCAGAGTGCCTGAAAAAGCTCGTCGCGCAGTGCGAAGCTGTCTGTGGCCGATACCTCCACGAACACATGGCATAAAATGGCTGGCTCACCCTGCAAGTGGCCACCTGTCCCTATCCATCTTGCCATCACGAGCCCAAATGATCTACAATCTGTCTGAGCTGTCTGCCCACGCATGTGCCTGACATGAACATCCAGTAGCTCCTGTGACTCGCGCAAGATGCTAAATCGTGTCAGGAATGCTGCGGCACGAACTGTTCCATATATAGCAGCAACAAACGCAATCTCTGCAAAGGGAGACCTGCCGTGTTCACAGGCAGGGCATGCAAGTGCCGTGGATCCCTTCGGCTAGCTTGTCGACAGGTTTGGGCTCCGGCTGTGCGCGCTGCACTGGCTGCCTGCACCGGTGTCCTAACACTCGGCGCAAGCCCAGAACCGCTGCCTCGGAAACAAAAGCATTCAGCAACCTGCAGCTTCAACATTCTGCAGGAAGTTGAGGGCATGACGGCACCCAAGGCAGGTCCCTTCAAGGAGAAGTTGCCTCTTGTAAGGAGGCAATGAGGCACACTCAAACTAAGTAGCGCTCGCTCTACCAATCTTTGCTGACATTTTCCAAACTTGTTTCAGAATTCATCGAGCTGGCCTGAGGCACTTCGCAAACCGGCCTTAAAGCATCAAGCGCATGCAGCATGCTTTGTCTATCACAGTCTTTGTGCTTCGTCGGAAGAAACTGGGCATCCAGACATCCGCCTCTCGATGCGTAGTTTTGGACCTGTTGTGCGCATGCCTTGCCTGCAGACTTCTTTCGTTGCGAGCGGCTGATGGCCTACATCTGCTTGCAGGGAAGGCAGACGAGCTTGCAAACGGCCTGCACATCACGGCTGTATTATTTGCTGCACAGAATGTGCTGCAGCTTCCTTGGCATGCGGGGCCTGAGTTGCAAATTCCTTGGAGCGGCCTGGCGGGACGCGCCAGCGAGCACACGCGACATTTCTGAGCTGTGCGCTTTGAGTTTATGTTCAGCTTGGCCCCTTAGCATCCTGTGCGCCGATTCGTGCTGCTCTCATGTTCATCTTCTGCAGTGTGGTAAACCTCGGATCATTCGGCCCAGCCGTGGCTCCCACTCTTCGGCAATGTGTCTTGATTTCTGTGCTCGCAAACTATGAATTGCTCAATGCCTCTTGGATTGCAATGGACTGCGCAATTGCAGCCTCCATGCTTTTGGACCGCTGAAACACTTCTTTTTTTTAATACGCGGCTCACATGACGATTGTGTCCAGGCAGCGGAATGCTGCATCAGGCACTCCAGCATTCATCTTGGCATGATTAGACTAGAGATAGTCAGGGCTGAAGTCCAGAAGTCATCAGGTCATGAGGAAGCACTAATGAAGTGAAAATTCGCAAAGTCCGATCTAAGCATCTGCAAGTCATAGGTTGGCCGCCGCTGTGCTAGACTCTGCTAGACTGCACTTGACAAAAACAACCAATTCCAACGTTGACGGTCTCCGAACCTAGAAACTCTCCGTAGAAGGCAAAGACTCTGGCCAACATGGCCAACAGCAAGAGCAGCACCGCCCAACATCTGGCAAAGCAAACTGTGGAAGATTCTGGAAGCAAGAGATGAGCAGGGAAAAGTTCCCCCGCAAAGGCAGTCCTCCTTGCCAAGCAGGCTAGCTCCCGCTTATCTTTTAGCAAGCACTGCCCACATCGATGCCATTGAAGCCTAGTAAGCAGCTGTGGCACGACTGGTTGGGATTTCTAGAAATCGGGATGCACAATTTCTGTGCGAATGTGTTGAGGCAGTGCATTTCAGATTTCTTTACCCACACGTGCTCAATACATGGCAGAGCAGGCACCTGTCAAACTGGGAACGCGCCTCCATGATGGGGCCAGCCGCAACGAATGTCCAGCTGCCTACGGCTTGACCAGTATCTCGTGCCGCTTCTGCCTGTGGATCTCTAGTTGTTTCCATAGGAGCCCTGCTGAGCGGAGACAGCACTGTCCAGGCTCCAGCTGTGATGAGTGCAGGTCTCCTGGGCAGCATGTTTGAATCGTTGTGCCCGCTTCTAGAAATGCTCCCTGCGCACGTGTTGCAGTTCCTGTGCCAAGTTTTCACAATGTAAACGCATGGTAAACGCATGCCCTGGATCTTACGCATCTTACGCATTGCACCACGCAGCACTTCTTGGGGACCGTCTCTGTGCCCTTTGATCAACTCTGCGATAGACATTGATATATGCACGTGCGCCAAAAGTCATTGCATCCAGCGGCTCTAGCAATCGATGGTCCAATTTGGGCAATAAACAGTTCTCTATCATTGTCCCGACGAGGAAAAAAAAAGAAGGCTCAGCAGCAGCAGCAGCAGGCTTTTTTTCTGCGCACCATGGCACGGACATAAGAAATCAGCCAAAAAGGTAAGCAAAGGTGAACAAAGCCACTGCAGCTGGTTGCTCTTCCCTGCTGATTTCCTTGCAATACAAGGAAGGAACTGCTTCCACCTTCCGCTCACCATTTTTCGGTAGGATTTCAGGACCTGCTTCCGCAAGTTCAGGCTTTGTCTTTAACACGTTTGTGTGCGCACGTGTGGTTTTGGGGTGACTTGCTTGAGAGCCTTGCTGAGAAATCAGGATTCAGCTCAGAAATGCTCAGAACACAAGGTGGCTGGACACAATAACTCGAGCCATGGCAGCTACAGTATGAGCGCCATCTACGTATTAAGGCTAAGGCTATGTGTGATTCTGATAAGAAAGGATCGCCTCACAAAAGCCTGTGGGTCAAGATTCCCGACTCAAGCTTCAGCCGTGCTTTCACGAATCTTCGGCAGCATCCTTCTCCCAAACCGATTCTCGAATTAACTCTAGAATTCAGAATTTCTCCCCTAGACTACTGCTCTGTTTCACCACCTTTCCGAAAATCCAGCTTCTGCGAACCATTGCAAACCCTCACGTGAATGAAGCAGTTGGCAGAGCTTCCGTGCACACATGAAAACCTTGCTTTCGAGTGACAGTTCTCTCCGATAGGATGCCCATCCCCTATCTCCTCTACCATGAAAAGTTCTGCTCATGAAAGCCCCCCGTCAAGATCATGGTGCGTACTTTTCTCCCCCGGACCTCTCTCAACAGGTCTGCAAGAGATGGCATTGCTACACTGCATTGTCAATTGCGGATGGGGCAATGGTAAAGGGTATGGTACAGTTTTTCGCAACGCAAGGACGAAGAAATGTCAAACATCCTCTAGTCACGGAGCAAGGGCTGCGTCTCTCAAGAAGACAAGGCAGCTGGATGCATGAAAAGCCATTCGACACTGCCATCAGTATTGGTGTGTCTAGCCAGCAAAAGACTCCGTCAAAGAAGCTAATCCTAAAGCAAAACCTTTAGGCAAGGGCAGTTGCCGCCATCGGCAGGATGCACCCTGGCAGCTTGTCAAGATCAGTTTTTTTTGCAGCCCAACAGGCCCAAAGCAATCTGAGTTCTGCTTGCTTTCTTGCCTCATCGGCCTGTGAGGGCGGTGGCACCTCCATCCTTGACCCAAGCTAGGCCAGCTTTTGAGTCTTGACGCAAAACTGCATATTGCGAGGTCGCGCATGCAAGATTCATCAACACTTTGCTCAATCGCGCTCACGAATAGCTTGCAGGAAAGTGCATAGGAGCTGTTGTGACGTACTGAACACCGGTTGACAGCAAGTGCACGATTTGCAGACCTGCCGGGCTCTATGTACAGTGTAGGGTGCTGCTTTGGGTCACCCTCTAGGAGCAGGTGTCAGTCCATTTTTACTTCAAGCGATGCCACTCTTCGGCATCGCTTGCTCAAGCATTATCGTTGGCCTGGGTGCAAACCTGCACGAAAACACGAGCATGCTTCCGCACAAGACGAAGATGCCAGGGACTTTTGACCCTATGCAAAAAGGCTAGGAACTAAAGGAACTAGCTGCAGTGCTCAGTGCCATCGGAACCATCAGAGTCTGCCACATCTGCCACCTGCCGTGTATGCTACCCGATCTGCTATGTAGGCTCTAGAAAACCTTCCAGCCAGCTTGGCAGATCAAATTCTGGGCGACATGCATGATCAGCCGTGCAGCTGAGCGTCATCCGGTTCCAGCGCCGTCTCAACACCAATAAGCCTGCCAAATTCGACCTTAGTCCCAGCTGACAGTCTGTGAGCTTGGTTGCAAGGATTGCTCTGTGGAGCGAAGTAGCCTTGCCAAGACATGCGGGGCTTGCTCACCTTGCTCACCAAGCTACTTCTAAGCCCACAATTTGTTCTCCAGGGTGGACATCGACTCGGACCTGGTCTATTTGCGGATGCGGTAATAGCTTAGTTTCAGCTTTTGCCATTCCAGAGAACAGCTGGGAAGCATGGCTCTACTTGGCAATTGCTCTCGCTGACGATGTCGGAGGCCCGTGATGTGCAGGGTTCGACCACTGGCCTTGCACAAAGCAAGATGGCAACTATTGGCAATCCCTCCCAGGTCGGATGCATCTCAAGACTGATGAAACCGATGCACGGGATCCTGGCAGCTCAGATACGAATTAAATGCAGAGCCTTTTCTTTTAAATCATCTCGCCTGATGGAATCTAAATGCTGGGCCCCGTGCTGTGCTGAAGAGCAGCTGGGCACCCAGGCTGCTACTATTGCCAACGGCACCCTGGCAGGGGCAGATACATCCTACGCGCTCGTATCCATGGCGAATCGGGGGGCATGTGACCGCAGGTACACGAGCCTCATGCACAAGCTTAGTGCATTCAAGCAGGTGGAGAGCCTAAGATTTTGGTTGTTTGGATGTGCCGGCCCCTGCGCCGCCTTGCGCTTTGAGTTACACGCACATGTCCAGCCTTCCACAACCACAGTCATAAAGTGGTCTGCATACCAGAACTAGGCTGAATATGGCTGAATGATCTCTGAATGGAATATTGTACCTGCCCTCGCCCGCAAGGATCTTTCAACCCAGTTGAAAAACCTAATGCCGCCCTTAAGTTACGCTACAAGCACTTCAGGGTTGTGTGAGCTTGACGGTCTCACAAGCCCCAAAGTGTATCTTCCGAAGAATCAACGGAAGCTCCCAAGGGTGCCCCAGTCACCTTAGGCATGAAAATTGCGCTATCAGCGCTCAAACTAGAAGCATTGTGGCATGCGCCATCAGAAATCGCCAGTTAGGCTGTTCACTGCATAGGCACCCCCTACCTGCTCCACTGCCACAAGATAGTCTGACTTCCCAAGCTCGAAGCTGTCTGTTGCCTCGCCGGCACCTGCCGTGGGCAGATCGCCATCCGAACTGCACTCTGACTGACCTTCAGCACAAAGAATAGTGTCTTGGATATCAACCACACCCTTTTTCAGCGGGCTTTTCGCACGTTGCCACAAATGCTTTGAAGAGTCATGCCTTCCACATGCCTGCAACACGGTGGCAGTGATTGAATCCGCTGGTCAAGCACATCAATGCAAATGATATGGCCTAACTGAGATGCCATAGAAGACCACATGCTTCCAAGCATTTGTGGAAGTGCCTTAAAAAGCTTCAGTCAGGAACCGGCTATGCAAGTTTGATGCCACTCCTTTTGGACACTCGGCCTGCCCTGCAGATTCATCTTTCTTTCCGGGCACCTAAGCAGCAAGTTCAGCCCGAAATGGCGGCAGCTTAAACTTAAGCAGAATACGAGAATGCGACCTCGTACAATCGGCGACAGTAGCCGAAGTTCACAACTCGAATGCGGTCAATCTCTCCACCGTCTGCAGGAAGCGCACGCACGGCCCAGGGGTCCTCAAGCTCTGCTCAGGTCAAGGGTGAAAAAGCTCATCTGACTCGGAGAGTCTGCTTCCGGCCTGGAAAATGCGGTCGTAATTCAACTCCTCGTAGAGGCGCTGAGCTGGGACATTCTCTGCGCACACCATCAATACGACCTGCCGTTGCATGAGCTGCCAGCGTGCAAGAATGAGAGACCAGCCTGGTCTCCAAAATGTGGGACTCACTGATGTGCGGATGACCCGCTCCGGTGTCAAGTTTCAAGGCGAAGGTTTTTCAGGAACAAGGTTTGCAGTGCATACATTTGCGAAAATGACTCAATGCTTAACTTCCCTTCTGCGGTCCGAAAAGCAGAGCCACCAAACCCCCTAAGTTTCAAGGAGGCCCCCAAGCAAAAACTGCTCAATCCTGTTGGCTGGCAAGACTTTCAGGCTCCATCGAGCCCATATCATTCATTCCGCCATTTGAACCTCTGACACCTCGCCTGCATGCAACCAAGATACAAGCAAACTTTTTGTGAAGCTGCAAAGACTGCCAGCAAAGAACATACACCCTCAAACCTACAGCATCTAGCATGATAGTCGGGCTGAAGCCTCCTGAACTCTGAGAACATCACGCGCCCATTGCTCCGCCTCCGAAACAGCGTCAAACCGACATAAAAATGTCAACAACAGTAGTTGCGAAAGCAGGTGAACCTGCAGAACCAGCTGTCGTCCAAGCCCTTGTCCTCTTTCGCTTTGCAAGACCTGTGCTCAGTCACATATTTCGGCATCAGGAAAAATAGGAAAAAGCTGCCAAGCAGCGGAGAGATTGGACATGTAAGCCACTCGTTGCCTCGCAGGTGTCGAGTGTGCTCCAAGAGCCGGAAGGGAACCAGCCTCCTGTGGCAAGAAGCTGCCTGGGGAATCTGCGGAACGACGCATCCACGCTGGACACACGAGCGGGAGAGGAGACAGGCAGCTCCTCGGGGCTTTCTGTTTGAGCCTGCAGTTCTGATCATCATGCAGTATGTAGCGTAGGCCTCGAATGGCATAACTTCGAGGCCAATGCAGCCAATGACTGAGCCTGCTGTGAGTCTAAATCATTCCATCCATCCCAAGGGCCCACCAGCCAGCAGAGGCCTCCTCTCCGTGCTAGAAGCAAACAGGAAGACCCACCCGGTGCTGTATAGCGCAAGGCCAGATCATCGTACACCTGCCGGGCATCTTATCGGTTTTGGCACTGTGTGATCGATAGCGCTTGACCATGGCTAATCTATTTCTGTTTGGGTGAAGGCATTTGAACCTGCTCCACTATCCTTTCCAAAGAGGGCCCCTGAGGTAGTCGTTTGCCAGGACAATCTGCATCGAAAGGTGCCACGAAAAAGGCATGCGCGACAACTGACGCGACGTCCTGCCCGCAGCTTCAGTGGTACATGAGCGCTTTAGTTTAGACGTTCTATGGTCCTGCAACTCTTGCTTGCAAGGTCCGCCAGCTCCGAGACGAACGATATGAGTTTGCGCGGTGGGGCCCGGTGCATCAGCCTATGAGCATAGGCTGTTTTAAGATTTGACAGCAATGACAGCTTCAGCCACTTGGACTTTGGCAGATTGCTCCCTGCAGCTTTGATGCAGCTTGCAGCGCAGCCCCGGCTTCCTGCATGGAGCTTCTCGAAAAATTTCACTGCAACATCCTTGAGACATTTGCCCTTAATGGAGACTACGCCGTGACCACGCAGCAGTCGATGCCACGCCTGGCTCTGGTGCCAAAAGCAACCAGGCTCAGCGCCTTAATGGCATCGAAGGCAAAAACATGTGCCAGCTCTGCCAGCGCCTGTTGACATTGTGCGCCGCTAAGGCACTGAGAACACTTCTCGGCCACTCTGCTTGAGTGGCTGGGCCTCGCCGGCCTCGCCGTTGCCTCATCCGTGGAACAGCGCGCAAACGAGCTACACACACACACGCACAAACACATACAGAATGTACAAAAACTCCATGAACCTCGAATTCGACAAGCATATCTGGCGTCATGTTTCCTACGTTGAATACTGCAGCGTATGCTTCTGGCTAGTTTGCTGGCTGGAAAGTGCACCACCGCGCCGCGCATGTCGTCTTCTGCTTCATTCTCGATGAACATGCTACTGATGCTTCCTAACTGCCAGCATACAATCTCTCTTGGCAGTCATCCCCTGATGCTTCCTAACTGCCAGCATGCAGTCTCTCTTGGCAGTCAGCCCGTTTCCAGAAAATGACTCTCACATGAATACATACAACTGATACTCTTTGATATTCAGGCTCACCAGCAGAAGTTTCTGAATTATGGGCGAGCAGAAGTTTCTGAATTATGGGCGAGCTTCCACTAAATAATCTCATGATCTTCGACACTTCCGAATAACAATCTCCAGTCATCGTCATGATCTTCAACAAGCATGCTAAGACCAATTACAATGCTATGATCGACCTGCAAAGATACGTTGCAGCAAGGAGATGCTCGCGTCGAATCGTGGGCATCGCTTCCTCGTCGCTGGTGCCAGCCCACCTGGCACTGCGGCGGCTCTCTGCAAAGGGCTCACCATGGCGCCACGGCTTCATTCTGCAGATGGCCCGCGTGCAAGAGGTCCGTCACTATAGACGACACCATTATCCTGGCCTTTCAGTACATCGCGCAGCCCTCGAGTGAAGTGCGAACTGTTCCATGATGTTCCATGCATGCAGGATTCAAGACACATAGAGAGCTGAGCCGGTTCCGAGATCAAGCACGCGATGTTTCGCAGGCATGCAACCACGTTGACGTTGAAAAAT